AGTGTCTTCTTTTGTGACGATTCAGGTCGCAATTCCGTACAAACCATTTACCACAAACTCCACATTGGTAAGGTTTCTCTCCAGTATGTCTTCTTTTGTGAGACCTTAAACTGCTACTAGTTGAAAACTTTGAACCACAAACTTCACACTTGAAATGCTTTTCTCCAGTGTGTATTGTTCTGTGAGTTTTTAAACTGCCAATAGTTGTAAACCTTGAACCACAAACTTCACACTTGAAAGGCTTTTCTCCAGTGTGCATCATTTTGTGATTGTTTCTGCTAGTCCGGTGTGAAAACCCTTTACCACAAACTTCACATGTGAAAGGTTTTTCGCCAGTGTGTGTTCTTTTGTGAGACTTTAGGGAACAACTTTGTGCAAACCTTTTATCACAAACTTCACACTTGTAAGGCTTTTCACCTGTATGAATACGTTTATGCCTGTCAAGTTTGCCACTTTCCACAAACTTTGCACCACAAACTTCACACATGTAAGGCTTTTCTCCAGTGTGTGTTTTTTTGTGACCGCGTAGGGAGCTCCTTAGAGTAAACCTTTTATCACAAACTTCACACTTGTAACGTTTTTCATCTGTATGAATCTCTTTATGCCTGTTAAGTTTACAAATTTGTGGAAACGTTGCACCACAAACTTCACATATGTAAGGATTTTCTCCACTGTGCATACTTTTGTGACTCTTAAGAGTGCGACTATAAGCAAAACTTAAACCACAAATTTCACATTTGAAAGGCTTTTCTCCAGTGTGTATTCTTTTGTGGCTTGCTAGGTGCATCCTTTGTGTAAACCTTTTATCACAAAGTTCACACTTGTAAGGTTTTTCTCCTAAATGAATACGGCTATGTGTGTGAAATTGTCGCTTATCTGTAAATTCTGCATCACAAACTTCACACTTGTAAGGCTTTATATGAATGAGGTTATGCTGGTGAAGTTTGAGCCTGTTTGTAAACTCTGCACCACAAACTTCACACTTGTAAGGTTTTTGTTTAGTGTGTGTTTTTGCGTGAATCTTTAGTTGGCAACTACGTATAAACCTTTTATCACAAATTTCACATTTGTGAGGTTTTTCTCCAGTGTGAATACGGTTATGCCTGTAAAGTTTGCCACATTCTGAAAATTGGGCACCACAAACTTTACATTTGTACGGCTTTTCTCCAGTGTGTGTTCTTTTATGACTCGATAAATTGCTATTAGTTCTAAACCTTGAACCACAAACTTCACACTTGTAAGGCTTTTCTCCAGTGTGTGTTTTTTGATGACGCTTTAAGCAGAAAACCCTTTTACCACAAACTTCACACTTGTACTTAGGTTTTTCTCCAGCATTTGTTTTTTTGCCACTCACAAACTCAGGTCCCTCGGGGAGACCGGCGTCATTTTGTCTAACGTGACTATTTTTGTGCAGTTGAGGTAATGTAACATCAGAAGGCCGTGTACAATTCACAAAAGTTGCGAGAGACTGGGCGCCAGAAAGATTCAAGTCTGAAACATGACACTGGGACAGTCCAACAATGTCAGAGCTGTAGCCACATGGCACACTAGACTTCATGGCAATAGGCCTACTCTCTTCTTTTACAAATTTTTCTTCAGATACCTGAGTGGGCATATGACTGACATGAATCATTGTGTTCACCTTTATTGTAGAAGTGCAATCTTTTGGCTTCTGGCCATAACCATCATTTACACCTTTGGAGTGCATTTCTCTATCATCATATGCTTTGCCATGATGGAGATCAATGGCTTTCTCTGGGTCAAGGACAGAAACAATCCTTTCTTTACTTGGGTTTGAACTCTGCTCCATACACAAACTCCAAACATCAGAGATCTGCAGTTGCATTCCTTCAGCAGCTTGACTGGAACGATTCAACACAGGTTCACCCTCAGGCTCCAACACTTCCTGCTTCACATTATAATTCTCCACTTCGGGTTTCACTTCTAGACTAAGATCAGGGTAAAGTTCAAACTGTACTTCTTTCACAACATTATCAGCACTTTTTGAACACTGTTTAGTTGTTATTTCTTGTTTTTGAGGAAATAAAAACAAAG